AGTTAAAATACAACAAAAAAATCAAAACAACTTCAAACATTTAAAAATGAAATAAAAATAAAAAGACATCAATTCAAAAAGCAGTTAGCATGAATTCACTTGTAATTTTCCATATTTCTTCAGAATACTTGTTTTTATCATTCTCTTCAATATATACAAGGATCTGGCATTTTTAACTTCATCTTCCGTACTGTTCCACAATCTTATTCCCTGGATTAAAGTCGATCGCTCCTTCAGGCTCATACGAACCCAAGGCTTCACAAACATTTCTATTCCCTTAAGATAATAACAGCTCTCTCTTTTAACAAAATTTACTTGAATGTTGAAAGGTAAGACACCTTTATGAGCTCTGTACATTAATAGTAAAATATAATCAACCAAATCATAACATTTTAATAATTTCAAATCATGAAACAGTATATTCGATGGATGACTGTAATTTTTTCTAGTAATAATTCTTGTGTTCAAGTGTTGAACAACAGTCCAAATTTGGACATATTTCCAAATATTATTAATTCTAAATGCTTCAACACAGAGACTTCACTGAGGGCTCAAATGAAAGGTATTAATCACAGAAATCATATTCTACCATCCATAGCTACAACCACATTATTAAAATACAGTAAATTATCAAAAATTTGTAATAGTCACAGCTGGATCTCAAAAAGCCAACAATTAGACCAACTGAAGCCAAAATCTGACAAAATCCAAGTCTTTTTTTGAAGCACTTCTATCCAAACAGCTTGTAAACCACCAGCAGCAGAATATAAAATGTTTTTTACTTACTCATCAGTCAGTCAAATGATTGAGTCAGTGGGTGGGTCATATGGACTATCCTTGACATTATTGGCTGTAGAGAAGCCACAAGCTGTGTCCAAATTCAGAGGCTGCAGCATTCTGGCAGGTCTAGGTGGGCCGGGTCCTTCATCGACCACGAAGACCAGAAGAARGTTGCTGTGAATTTGGACTGTCTAACCTTCAACTTTTATCCCGGCTTATGTCCTGTTGCCTAGCAACTGTGACGATGCTAAACAGAAGCAGAAAATAGATTGAAATGATCAAAATACTTCTATAATAATATTATTATAAATACTCGAAGGACTAAGAGACCTGAGTGTGAGCTTGTTTGGTTTCTGACAATAAAATTAAAACAACTAACTGAACAACCGCTTTAATCTTTTAATTTTTGTACTGCAAGATTTTATTTAAAACTGTCTCTCACTTTGACTGCCATTACAAGAAAAACAAACAAAAAAAATCTCCCGGTCGACTTRCAGTGCATCTTGGGATAGGGTGACCTGAGAAGCATCCACCCAGCCTTCGGTGTGGCGCAGTGACGTGAGCAGTCAACAGATTTGGCCTTCGAAGGACGCAGCTCCTGAATTTAGACACAGCCAAAGATCAACGCAGTTGGTCAAAGGTGTCAATCAAAAGACGACCCACTGAAGCATTTTCACGTCCTTTTATGTAAATTACAATGAGTCAGCCGTGTACAACAGCCTCCAAAGAGGGGAAAAACAGACAGCAACCCGAAGCCGGGTATAGGAATAAAAAGTAATTGAAGCTGTTCTTTCTGAGAGGGTGTTCTTTTCAGTCAGAAGATGAAAGTTTTTATCTTGATCCTTTATCCACAGTCAAAAGATGATCYGCCAGACCAAGCCAGTAAAAATGGCCCCTCTAACCTGTTTACCCCTCCAATGGAGGACATCCAGGTCACAGATGTCTTCTTTGAAGACGCAGTCACCAGCTCTCCAGTAGAACCCATCACCAGCCCTTCAGCAGTGGTGCCAGGTCAGATTTAACACAGCTTTTCATTTCTAYTAGCAGCCAGCTCTAATGTCATGTCCTGTTTTACCATGCAGTGCCCTGTCACATATTCTTTCATCACCTTCAYGCAAATTTTGCCCCACAGGTAACAAAGTTCAGAAMGGCTCGCCGCCGTCCTTCGAGGACAGCGAAGCCTCTGGAAGCAAACCTCAGCAGAAGGCCATCACCTCCGACTCCTCCACTCCCTCCTCAGTCTGGACGAAAGAAGTCCTGACGACTGCCAGCAACACCCTGAGCGACTCGCTCTATAAATCGTTCACCACCTCTTCTCTGCTCCGAGTGTTGATGCACACAACTCAGCCATTGTTCAATAATGGTAGGACAAAACACATTCTGTTAAACCGTTCACATCTTAGCCCATAAATTTTCAGCATTAGGCGGTTTTTACTCAACAGAAGCTCTGTGTTAATGTTCCTCCATGGTGGGTCGACAGCTGGACTTAATTGCAGCAGATGATTGCCTTTCTACTTTAATGGCTCACAACTGAGCGTCTAATCATTGCTGCACTCTGTCATCTGGGGTGGGGGTGCATTTTGCATGGTGACATGGTGTGGTTAATGTCGGTGGTGGTAGTAATGACAGCCATAAGGAATAAGGAGACGCTGATTGTGATTGGTGTGATAATCAGGGACTGCATCGTGCTCTACAGTGGTTCTGAATTCAGTCTGTTCAACTCTTTCTGCATGTCGCTCAGCGAGGTCAGAGTTTTCCTGCCTCATGATGATCTATTTGAATCCCCTCAAGCTTGGTGATTAGCATCTTGGACATTTTCTGGTCGTTTTCCTTTCCTGTGGCTCGGCAGCRCTCTCTGGTGGTGGTTCTTCTWTTTTCTGCCCTGACTAGAAATCAGCTTCTTCTTTCGAGTCGCTTYGTCTCGTTTGTCTTCGTCAGCTTTTCATTTACAAACTGAAAGYCTTGGCTTGCTTCTTGGGTCTAGAGTGGAGAACTTACATTTCCTCTTTCCTTCAACTGAAAAGAAAAAAATGTTTGAAGACGTCTTTTTTGRCTTTCCCGACAGCAGACACCCCTACCCTAAGGACTGAAGACTTCACAGACTCTCTGAACCACTCAAGTGGAATCATCACGAACCCTGAACAATCTGACTCTGAAGTAACACCGTCACTGTCTGTCAGTAAATACACCAACAACCTCTCTGAGGGGAAGGTTTTGTTTTCTACACAAGATCAAGGTCCAACTTTTTTCAACACTTTGGGTTCTCAGGATCTCCTGATTTCAACCAGCCATTATTTCTCACCACCTGATTACGACTTGACTCCCACCCATTCAATAACGACAACCATAAACGCCCCAAGTGCCTCTCCAACCCAAAGTGATAGTTTGATCGAAGACACTCTGGATTTGAAGAGTGAAGAGGATGACCACAGTGCAAATTCAGAAACATTTTTATTTGATTCCAGTGGTCTGGATTGGTCAGACGGTCAAACGGAGGTCAGTGGATCGGGTTCTGGCTATGACCACAACCTTGAGGAACTGGAGCAAGATGCTGAAGTTCAATTTACGTTTTCTATATTTCAAAGCATCATCGGTGATACCAGAGAGGGGAGCAAATCCAATGGTATGACTAYAGATGGGGTAAGTAATGTAAATAGAGAGGGTGACTCGGATGACATTGAGATAAGTGGTGAGGAAGAAGAGGACTTGGATGTTGGGAATCACACCCTCACAAAACTGGATAAAGAAACCAGTGAGAGCTTCGCTATCACAAAATTAAAACAAATAATGGAAAAAGAGAATGAAAGTGAAGTGGAGCCCAAACCTGAAAGGGTAATCTACCATGAGCGTGGCAGTGGAACCGAGGACTTCAGTGGTTCTGGTGAACATACTACATTTGACAAATACAAGCCAAAGGAAGTTAATGTGAAAAGAGAAAATTGGAATTCTGAGTTCAAGTCCAAAAGCAACAACAGGAGCTACAGTCAGGAGGATTTAATGTCTGAAAGAAATGCAACTGCAGATAAAAGGATGCAGACAATAGATTCCTCAAAGTTTCTGAGCAGTGAAGAGAACCTCTACGATGAGGATCAGAACCAGAGTCTGTCTGTGAACAAGTCTACTAATGAGGATCAGAANATGAGGATCAGAACCAGAGTCTGTCTGTGAACAAGTCTACTAATGAGGATCAGAAGGACAGAGAAGACATGAGACCTGTGAACAAAAGAGAGCATGTTACAGTTGGTGGTGTTGCTGGAGATGGTACGCAGGATGAGTTGTTAGATGCTGAAAGAAGTCTTTTCCCTCAGCTCAGAATGACAGACATTACAAAACAGGAGCAAACAGAAGGTAAAGAATACTTTGAATTTTTCTTTTTTTCTAGAAAAATGTGACTGAAGTGTTAATTTTCCATCACATTAAGTTGTTTCTGGTAAAGTAGGAATTTGTTGCCATTGTTAACCTATCAGTTCTGGGGAGCATTTTAACATGAGCTCATTGTTTTTAGTTTAATCATACAACTGGAGAAAAAAACAGCTAAATGTAATGAGATGTTTAAAGCAGCTAAAGTACCGAACATTTTTCCCCTCAGGTGACAGTGGAGACCTGAATGAGTTTGAATGTTAGAATTGGATTAAGTTAAAAAAAAAGAATTGGATTAAGTCAGTATTTGTCTGATTACCGGTAGATTGAGCAGATGGCAGCAGGTACCAGTAAAATCTCAAATCAACTGATTTGTAAAACTTTAGGTTTCGGCAAGTCTGTAAAATGTTTGAATGGAGAATGGAAAACTCTWAAAATTTTCCATAGTTTCCAAATTTTGCTGTTCATTCTGTTTGGTTCGCTTGTCTAGTTTTTTATTTTATGTTTTTGGCTTCTTTTTAGTTAGTTTAGTTTATATCAAACGTGTATACAAAACGAAACAAAAAATGATAAAAAGTGATAACAAAATTAACATTTGAAAAGGAATGGGAAGAAGTAAAAAAAAAAAATTAATCCCACCCTTCTCCAAAGCTTATTAAAAAAATAATAGCCACACCCTATTATTATTTTCCTCTCTTTGAAAAATTGATCCTGGTGCAGGTGTTGGCTACAGGGCAGCCTTGTAAAACTGACATGGACGACCCCCTCTTTTTTTTATTTGTCTTTCTTTGAGACACAAAATCTCATTCTTGAAAGACCTGGTTCATATAGACATACAACAGCATAGTTACAGACAAACACAGTAAAAATAGTGCATGTATGAATAAAAGTATCATAAAACAGGTCAAAGTATTAAAAATAGGTACTGGATTTCACCGCTGTCTTTTTTTAAAATTGATTTTAGGGTCAATTTAAAGCCGCCTAATGGAACTAAGTTTCCAAAATGTTTCAAATTTTGTTTGGTGGCGTTTGGTTCAGCCTCACAATTTTGCGTATCTAACAGTCGCCAACCGGTGAGATCTAGGCTTTCGTCTCGCCATTTGCTCACCAACCTGGTTTTCATCAAAATACATTTTATTGTTAYTAACTTTTATTTAACCAGGCAAATCCCATTGAGATCACAGATCTCTTTTGAAAGAGAGACCTGGACTTGAAGGCAACCTAACGTCACTTTTTTGGGAGGATGCTCGAGTAACCCACACAAACACAAGCAGAACATGCAAACTCTGCACAGAAAGACTCCCAATCCAAACTGGGTATCGAATCCAGGATCATATCCAGTGCATCTTGATTTAGTGGCCTTCCTCTAATTTAAACATTTTCCCATTGTATTGCCTTACTTCTACATGTGGCTCTTTGGTCCCTCTGAATAAAATTTTAAAAACGTGAATGTTTTTGTTTAGAACACAAAGGTACTGAAGAAATTTTGTAACTGATTAATTGAATATTAGATTCAGTTTTGTATTTTATACTTTCTGATCATTTCAGTCTGTAAGGTTAAAACAGACAGAGTTGGTGTGTGTATTATCATGTGTTCTTTCTCTTAGCCTAAACAAAACTGAGTGACGTTCTGACGTCTGATGTAAAAGGTAACACCTCTGGGGTGTAACCAGGAAGGGATGAACATTATAAGCTCAATTCATTATTAAAGTAGAAAGAAGTTGTCAGTGTTTTGCAGAGTGTCTGCTCAGAGCAGAACTCCCGTGTTTGTTTTGATTTGGCCCAAAGTTGTACACTGAGACCTGTGCTACTGAGCGCTGAATGTACCTGATTGGAGTCAGAGGACTGAAAATAAAGTTTTAAAGAAGAAAAATGGTATGTCTGAATAAAACAGGAACCCGCTCCAGCGGGTTCCTATTTTATTCGGACATACCATTTTGAACAACGCATATTTTTCCAACAGTACACTGCAGAAACTGATTTAGTTGATAGTGCCTTTTTTGCAAACTCAATTATTACAACAATATTCAGAGGTTTTGCTACCCATCGTTGATGACTGGTTTAAAAAAAGGCTTATATCTTTTTATTTTTGCTTATTTTTCTCATGAGAATTATTTTTTGACTGGTAAGCTGTGTTTCCCCCTCCTCCTTCAGAACGCAGCAACAGCAGCCACGAGTCTCGGGTCGGGCTGGTTGAAGGTGTTGAGAGGGAGAAGAGGACYGTGGTTCCTCTGGCTGTCGTCTCCACCCTCACCATTCTTTGCCTGCTGGTACTTGTGGGCATCCTCATCTACTGGAGGTATGAACCCACATCCTATCTTTACTGTCCCATTCCTCGCCTCATCGCTTCACGACGATTCTGATCTCTTTCGATCACAGGAACTGTTTCCAGGTAGCTCATTTCTACCCGGATGACACTGCATCACCTAAAGTTCTGTCTGTCCCATCCACGCCACTGCTGCTGGCCACAGGTACCGCTTTAAGGTTTTGATCCTGCAGAAACGCAGCCGTGACACTGTCTCCTTAAATATTTGTCCTTTGGTTCCAGACGGCCACGAGCCGCTCACGGTGAAGCAGTTTGTGAAGCACGTCATGGAGCTCCACAGCACCAACACTTTCTGCAAGGAGTTTGAGGTGTGTGAGACTTTSAGTGATGGGGAATTTAAGAAAGATGAAAAAAAGACATAATGGTATAAAAGACTGTTTTTACTCATGGGTACAAACACCTCATTTGTCAAAGCTCCTTAATGTGCTTCCATTCCTCGTATTAACTCATACAACTCAGTGTTGATGTCTGTGTGCAGCATGGTGTACATCAATTAGCAGGGAAGGTCTTTTGGCACTAATTATGGCTCTTTTACAAGACTCTAAATTCAAAAGAGGCAAAAACATCAAGACCTATTGACAAGAACACSTATTGACAAGAACAGACTAATGAAAGCTGCCTAATGGTGTTTTTCATGCTCAATAATTGGTTTGAATAATGGAGACGTCTGCATGTTTAACTGTTTCCAAGCATGAACCACACACACGGATGATTCCCCTGTTGTTGCTGGTGTATTTGTGTTTTTCTTCTAATTAGGTTTGTCCCAATAAAATCTAACACAAATCAGTGACAGAAAATAAACAACAATAAGCAAACAAACAAACAAAAAAATAAACAGAAAATGTTTTAATTGCAAATGTGACCCGTCACATCAAACAGAGGATTAAGTCAAATTTGACCTAAATGACGTCAGCGCATTTTCAGATTCCTGCTTTTTAAGCTACATTTTGACACAAGTGGTTACAGAGATGACCTGATTGATATGTCTTCCGATTCAGGATAACTGGTCTGAATCGTCTTTTTAGGTTTTTAAAAAAGAAACTTTAAACAATTTTTCGATATGAAGATTTACCAGCTGGAAAAAAAGAAATCGCTTTGCTAGCTCGTGGGAAAAATATAAAAATGTAAGGCTTTTCTGCTCTTGTTTGGAACTTCTGCTCAAAAAATTGCTTAAAAAACATTTAAATTTAATTAAACAACCAATAGATAATGTATTTATTCATCATAATCTGACAAAATGGACTATAGCTGCCTATTTCTCTACACCACTTTCAGACTTAAATCCGTAGTTTGAGGTAATGGGTCACATAATATATCTGAAACCAGATGTTGACATACACTGCATTAAAATACATAACTATTATTTCCTCCCTTTCTCACAAATCAGATTAAAATTTTCCTGTTTTAGGTTCGTTAGGATTGCCTAAATTATTTTGCTAACGTCCATAATGAGAGAACGTGTTTACTTTCTTCAATGTTTTAGTGTTTTCTAGCATTATTTTACAAAATTGTTTAAAAGTGTATTTTAGTGTATTTAAACTTGATAAATATTCTCATTATTTAATATCATTAATTTAATGTTGGACAACAGTGAAGAAAAATGGTTTTGTTGGTTTTATATAGTCTGATTTCACCTTTTTATAGTGGTACAAATTATAGATCTTTTAATCAATGAGATCCTTCTGTTTTTGTGGACGCAATGCCAATAAAGTTTTGTCAAACAAAAAAAAGATCAATAGCCTAACTATATTAATATTTTGCCTGCAAATCAAATGTTTTACTTCTAAAAGAGTAGCATTTTGTGGTTTATTTTCTCTGACACTAKTGGCAGAAATCGAACGTTCCTTCCATTTTGTCATTTGATTTTTGCCTTTTCAAAGTTGCAACTGCAAATCTTCATTTTATTTTCAGTTATGTTTTTATCAAACTTAATCTAAGTGATTTCACATTCAAAATGGTGCCTTAGTTTTTCACCAACTGGGTAGAGTGTTGCATCATGGCTCACTTTGCTGCGAGCGTTTACATCACAGCTCAGATGGGACAGTCAGCCTGTTTCCCACTCTGTGTGTAACTGGAACCCAAATTCCTGAACCTGCACTGACTCCCTGTCTGTCATCTTGTCCCTCTGTCCCACTCTCCTCTCACCATCTACCACTACCATCGTCGTGCTTTCTGCATCCTCACCACCCTCCATTAGATTGTSAAAGAGTCCTATGAGGTAAGACACCATCCGTCTGCTGCAGAGGGGCTGCTTTGTTCTCTTGAAGWAAATAAACTATAACCCCAAAGCCGCAGTTTACCATGACGTCAGCACTTGTTTGATTTGTTCTTCCATGATATTAGTTGACGGTTGGTCTAAAGACTATATTGGAATTAGGGGTTAAACTTGTGAAATTATTAACATTCTATCGAACATATTGATATTGATCACATCYATCGCCAGATATRTTATTGTTTTATTGCCCAGCACTAGTAGACAAGTTGTATCAAAACCTACCTGTCTTTATTGAAACAGCCTCACTGTGTGTTTGTTTCAAAGCATGTGAGGCTTAAAGGGATATTTTAAACATTCTGAAATCAAGTTCTCAATGCAGGGGTTGTGGCTCATGTAGACATCATGTAGACATTAGTGGGCTGTAGGTAGGCTGCATTAATGACTGTGAAATGAGACAGTCTTGTCTTTGGATATYGTATGTTCACGTGACTACGTGCTGCCCTATTATTATGGTAATTTCACGGGAGGTATAAATTAAATTTAGTATTATTAAAAAACACCACATGTAGGGGAGTCCAGATACAGTTTTTTCACTTCCAATATGATAACGATATTGCAGCCTTGAGTATTGGTTGATACTGATATCGACCTGACACGATATTAGAAYGAATAAAAACAAAATGTATTCCTTTTTTTGTATTGTGGAGTCTAAAAATGTCTTGATCGAGTCAAACAGTAAACAATAGTCAGCAATAGCAGGTATGAGAAAGGCTGGTCCCATTTATTATTAACCAGTGGTTACATAATTTAACTTAAACATAGGAATATTATGCAATTAAATACAATGAATAAATAATAAAATATAAAACCCTGAAAAATGCCTCAATAAATCCAATAAAACAAAATATACTTTTAAAGTATTGTGGAGTCTAAAAATGTCTTGATCGAGTCAAACAGTAAACAATAGTCAGCAATAGCAGGTATGAGAAAGGCTGGTCCCATTTATTATTAANATTAAATACAATGAATAAATAATAAAATATAAAACCCTGAAAAATGCCTCAATAAATCCAATAAAACAAAATATACTTTTAAAGTATAAATAACTATTCAAGGTCACTTAAGTTATTTATGCTGGATCCAAGCACTTCTTGATAGAAATCCTGAGCAGACTGCTTGTATCAGAGATTTTAGATGCAGGYGATATAATCTGATATTGATTTTTTGTCTAATAAAATTGAAACAATATTCGATATTGATATTGAATTGGGACACACACAACTACACGTAAAGAAATAAAAAACATTAAGAATTTGAGTTTTGCTCCAGCATCAGTATTTGTAATTGCATTTTATTTAACATCTCATTGCAGCATTGTTTTCATCAGTTAAGTTGCTAAAGATACATTTAAAAAACAAATTCTTCGGTCTGTGATAAAATTTCCAAACTCTGCCATTAAAAAAAACAAAATAAAACATAAAGCCTCYGCCTTCTTCGGTATTCTTCTTATTTCTCTGACAGCGCAATAAATCCTGGGATATTGTGGACTATGTAGGATACTCAGATGCAGCCCACAGTTTAGGGGTTTGTAAGTCGCATTTGTCCGCTGCTTACATCACTGCACCTATGAAATGGGACAGCCTACAGCATGGCAAAGTGACATAAGTGACCGACAAATGTGCCCTAATTGGGCTGCAACCTCTGAAATGAGACCCAGCTAATAATTATCTGTAGACAGCTTTGTGAATAGGGATGGGTACCTTTGGCATTTAAATCGATTCAGTACCAATATCCGGTACCTGGGAATCGGTACCGGTACTTAACRGTACCAATTTTCAATACTTTGTGTGTGTTGATTTTTTTTAAATAATAAACTTTTTTAACATATTTCTCAATATATAAAATTAACAAATATCAAGACATCATCCAACTCTTTGTATTGTAACATTTGTGTAACTTATTTCTTTAAATTTCAAACTCTTGAAAACAACTACGTAGTGTTTTGTCTTATTGCACAAATTAAAATCCAGCTCCACGTGTTTCTATTGATGTCATTTCCATGCTAGAAAAATGTGTGATGGGGGTCCATGGAAGGCAAATAAGTTTAAATCAAATAAGCAAAAGAGGATTGAGTTAAAAATAATTTAAAGGTATTCAAGCTACGTTTTGAGCATCCAAAACGCGCCCAATGCTTCAAGTTGGCTGCTTGTGCTCCTTCAGGTCAGACGCGTTTGGACTGTCRGGAAGTGCCTCTGTTCTGTTTAATGGCGGATGAAATAAATATAGTGGCTGTATTTTATTTACTTTGAGCAAGCGAACACCGTGTTCATAAGATAATTAATCCACCAGATAATTCAGGGGCGGTCTGTTTGACGAGTTTAGGAGAGCTGCTAGCTGCAAGGCTCACACTTTCAAGCTACGTTCAGACCGAGCTCTGTTTACTGAACCAGYGGCTGCTGATGTCATTACGCTCTTGCGCGATGCTGCATTCAGGACAAGCATGGAAAACTCACCACTCTTACGCCAATACGGTCGCAATGATGCATTTAGACACCAAAACATGGTACCGTTTGATGTTACATGAATAGGTTCTCGGTAGAACCGACAGAATTCRGTCTGTAYTTTAAAAAGTGTTGAATTTGGTACCCATCCCTATTTGTGAACATCCTCAAATAAGAGAAATATATTTAAAGACTGTGGCAGGACTGATGCTAATGGCTAACCTGAATGAGGCCAAGACCAAAGTGGGTCACTGCAGTCTTGAAACAACTCCAATCCTTGCAGCTGGGGTCACCACAGCAAGCTAGCTAGCACCACAATTTGGAGATTGTCTTTACACTGAATGCCCTTTTTGTCACAAACACCAAGATACCACAGCTCCATCAGTGTGTATAACAATACTATATAATTTTTCTTCACAATTCTTTCGTGCAAATGTTACAATTTAAAATTTAATACCTGTTAAGTTTGCATTGGGCAGTTATTTCAGTAGGGCTGCAGCTACTAGAGTTTTCAAAATGGATCCAGGCTTTAGTCTCTTTATCTATCTGTACTTTTATATAATCAAAGTTGTTTTATGATACAAAATAGTCTGTTGTTTTTTGATGAAAGGACATTTTTCAGACTTAATTTTTTTTAAAGATAGCAGSGATCCCACAAAAACCCACTTTAAGTTGTCCAAAATATCACTTTACTGTGTTGCRGTGTTCACCCAGTTCCTGTTTGTCCTGGTGTGTTTCAGGAGGTTCAGACGTGTACAGTCGACATGGGCATCACGGCCGACAGCTCAAATCACCCTGACAACAAAAGCAAGAACCGCTACATTAACATACTGGCCTGTATGTGTCTGCTCGGTCTCACACTTCATTATTTTAGTGTTGACTCACWGAAACATGGCTGATTACCTTTTGCCTTTACCAGATGACCACAGCAGGGTGAAGCTGTCCAACAGTTTGGACCGAGAAGGGAAATGTGGGGACTACATCAACGCTAACTTTGTGGATGTGAGTTTTCCTCCTCTACATGTTCTGTTTGTGTTGTTACACTGTGTTTGATTTGATGATCTCTTCAGGGTTATGAGCGAACGAGGGCATACATCGCAGCTCAGGGGCCTCTCAAATCGAGCAGGGAGGACTTCTGGAAAATGATCTGGCAGCAGAACGTTGGAGTCATTGTCATGATCACCAATCTGAAGGAGAAAGGACGTGTAAGAGCTGATAAAGCCTTTGCACAATGTTAGACTTGTTTATCTTCAGATTCTGTGTGTTATTTTACTGGACATTCTCTCCACAGACAAAATGTGACCAGTACTGGCCTGAGGAGAACCCAGAGGAATACGGTCCCTACCAGGTCACCCTAAAAAGCACAAAGACCCTTGCTTATTACACACTTCGAACTTTCACAGTCAGGGATACAACAAATAAGGTATGTTATCTGCATATGATTTTTATCTCTCGGAGTAAAAAGTGATTATTACATTTGGGGTTGAGATGAGCCTTTATTTGTCCTTCAGGTGCCTCAAAGGAAAACTGAGCACACTGTCCTTCAATTCCACTACACCCAGTGGCCAGATATGGGCGTCCCAGAATACACTTTGCCTGTGCTGTCCTTCATCAGAGCATCTTCTCAAGCCAGAACGCAGGAAATGGGACCAGTTTTGGTCCACTGCAGGTAGAACATGGACAGGAGGAGGAATTATCGAATTATATAAATTAAAATAAATTATTTTCTGGATAAGAACTAGCTTCTTCATCCAAAACATCCCATTGCATCTCAGTAATCCAGGTAAAAAAAAAATCAAAAAGAAAAMTAAGTAAGTCCTCTGGATGAGTTCTTCTTTAATGAAACATTTCATCTCTCCTCCAAGAGACTTCTTCAGTCTGAGGAGTTTTGGGTGAACTCAGCCTCATTAGCACTGCCTCCACATGATGGACAAACAGTTTAGTCAGATGCAAAAGAGGACCTTCAGCCAAACAATAGGTTGTTGACTGTTTTTTGAGAAAGGCATAAAGGAAGCCATTTTTGTGAAGAAAAACCTTCCACATTAAACAGGGGTGGAGGCCTTCCAGTCCAATTGTCCCCCTCCTACAATGCTCTTATTGCAAGTATGACTCAGACCCCTGTGAGCAAAAGGTGTGAATTATGGCCCCAACAATAGTCAGGTGATGGGGCACATGACCCTCTATGAACAATAGAGCCAATCAAGGCACTAACAACATATTGTTTGGCTGATGGTCTTCTTTTGCATGTGACTAACTTGTTTGTTCACCATATGGAGGCAGTGCTTATAAGGCTGAGTTCACCTGAAACTCCT